CAATAAAACACAGGTAAACATCTTTCTGGTATTCTCTGCTTTCAGCCAAGATCCATCTGACATCAGCAGTGATATCCCTGGTTCCACATCCTCTTCTGAATCCAGCTTGATTTCTGACAGTTCCCTGTAGATATACTGATGCAGTCGCTTTTGAATGATCTTCAGCAAAATTTTACTTGTGTGTGATATTAATGATATTGTTCAATAATTTCCACATTCAGTTGGAACATCTTTCTTGAGAATAGGCATAAATATGAATCTTTTCCAATCGGTCAGCCAGTTAGCTGTCTTCCAAATTTCCTGGCATAGAGGAGTGAGCACTTCCAGTGCTGCATCCATTTGTTGAAACATCTCAGTTGGTATTCTGTCAATTCCTGGAGCTTTGTTTTTCACCAATGCCTTCAGTCCAGCTTGGACTTCTTCCTTTAGTACCATCAGTTCCTGATCATATGCTACTCCTGAAATGGTTGAATGTCAACCAATTGTTTTTGGTACAGAGACTCTGTGTATTCCTTCCATCTTCTTTTGATCCTTCCTTCGTCGTTTAATATTTTCTCTGTAGAATCCTTCAGTACTGCAACTCAAGGCTTGAATTTTTTTCTTCAGTTCTTTCAGGTTGAGAAATGCCAAGTGTGTTCTTCCCCTTTGGTTCACCTCCAGGTCTTTGCACATGTCATTATAATACTTTACTTTGTCTTCTCGAGCTGCCCTTTGAAATCTTCTGTTTAGCTCTTTTACTTCATTATTTCTTCCATTTGCTTTAGCTACTCGCTGTTCAAGAGCAAGTTTCAGAATCTCTTCTGACATCCATTTTGGTCTTTTCTTTCTTTCTTGTCTTTTTAATGACCTCCTTGCTTTCTTCATGTATAATGTCCTTAATGTCATTCCACGACTCGTGTGGTCTTCGGTTGTTAGTGTTCAACACGTCAAATCTATCCTTGAGAAGGTCTCTAAATTCAGGTGGGATATACTCAAGGTCATTCTTTGGCTCCTGTGGACTTGTGCTAATTTTCTTCAGTTTCAACTTGAACTTGCATATGAGCAATTGATGATCTGTTCCATAGTCAGCCCCTGGCCTTGTTCTGACTGATGATATTGAGCTTTTCCGTGGTCTCTTTCCACAGATGTAGTCGATTTGATTCCTGTGTATTCCATCTGGCGAGGTCCATGTGTATAGGTGCCATTTATGTTGGTGAAGAACGTATTTGCAATGAAGAAGTTGTAGGTGTTGCAAAATTCTATCATGCAATCTCTGGCATCATTTTTGTCACCAAGGCCATATTTTTCAACTACCAATCCTTCTTCTTTGTTTCTAACTTTTTGAATTCCAATCACCAGTAATTATCAATGCATCCTGATTGCATATTCGATCAATTTCAGACTGCAGAAATTGGTAAAAATCTTCAGTTTCTTCATATTTGGCCTTAGTGGTTGGTGCGTAAATTTGAATAATAGTCGTATTAACTGATCTTCTGTGTGCAGGCTCAGTATTTCATAGGGCGTCTCAGTACTCAGGGCAATCCTGCGAGGGGTCAGTTGCCATTTTTGCACATGTTAACGTGGCCAGTGAGTTGATGTTCTTTGGGAAGGTCCTGATGCCTTGTCCTACCACCATGCCTCTGGTGTGTGGAAGCCTCTCTCCCCTTTCCCTTCTCCGTAGACCAGTTAAGAGCTACAACAGCTCATGTCAAACACTGAGTGGCACAAATGGTGTGCACTTGACTACTAACCTAAAGGTTGGTGATTCGAACCCACGCGGTGGTGCCATGGAAGAAAGGCCTGATGATCTGTTTTCATAAAGATTACTGCCCAAGAAAGCCCTATGGAGCAGTTCTCCTCTATAATACATGGGGTTACCATGAGTTGAAATTGACTCGAAGGTAGCAGTTTGGATATTTTGGTATTCTCTTTCATATAACCTGAGGACTGGAATGTAGCTGAGTTTCAGGAAGGGCATGGGAACATGAGGAAGCCAGTGGTTATCTCTTCCCCGCATGCTGTGTTTGCCCACCCTTGTCTCTCTGCTCCTCTGTCCATGGCAAATGTTGGCCAAGCCCAGCTTGTTTTCAAATTTCAGTTCTAGAAACATAAGTTGACCAAGACTTTCAGTCTCAATTCCTCATTCACTGAAAATGAAAGATGTTTGGTCCATATTGAGTTGAGTGACCCCCTGGTCCAATCCACTTAGGGTTGGGGAAGGGGGCAGAAACACAAACATAGCCATCAGTAGCTCTTCCTGGACTGTGTATAGGGCAGAGAGTAGGTCTGAGAGAAGGGAAATTGCGGTGAGCTGAACAGAAGTCCAAATAGGTATCAACCTCTGTGCCTCGCCCCCATGCTTTTCTCAGTCCATGAGTGGGCACTTCCCACACATGAACGGAAAGCAACCAGTCCCTAGAAACAACACATTTCAAAGCTTTGCTCATCCTTAGGGGAGGGTTTCATTCCTTGTTGGAGGGTAGATGTATGATTGTTAAATATGGTTTTATTTGGAGATATGCCTTTAGTAAGTCAAACTGATAACAGTCTTTGAAGCTGAATATTGCTTAGGCACAGAACAGACCACACAATTAGACAAAAGTGCTACTCAATTGACTTGGCCCCAAAAAAGGCAGATACGTTTTTTAATGTAAAAAAACCTGTTGCTGTCGAGTCGATTCGGGCTTATAGCAACCCTATAGGACAGAGTAGAACTGCCCCATAGGGTTTCCAAGGAGCAGCTGGTGGATTCAAACTGCCAACCTGTTGGTTAGCAGCTGAATGCTTGACCACTGCACTACCAGGGCTCCTTTTTGAATGTAGGTAAAATATTTTAAACTATAATTGTGACATCTCCATTTTTAGACATCTGTTATTTAATCTGGGGCAGTGGTGGTTCAGTGGTAGAATTTTCACCTTCCATTCAGAAGACCTGGTTTTGATTTCCAGCCAGTGCACCTCAAGCACAGCCACCACCCATCTGTCACAGGAGGCTTGTGTGTTGCTATGATGCTGAACAGGTTTCAGCAGAATTTCCAGACTAAGATGGATTACGAAAAAAGGCCTGGTGATCTACTTCTGAAAAACAGCCAGTGAAAACCCTATAGGCTGCAATGGTCCCATCAGCAACCGATCATGGGGATGGTGCAGGACCGGACCGGGCAGTATTTCTTTCTGTTGTGTACGGGATTGCCCCCAGTCCAGGGCTGACTTGATGACAGTTGACAACAACAACATTATTTAACCTAAGATTATTTGTTATTGTTTTTCTAAACAACTTTATTGAGGTTTACATTTGATTTTTAAGCTCTGAGAGGCAAGAGATTTTATTCAACTGTGTTAGCAATGGTGTGTGCAGGTAGATACTACCACTGATTATACTATTATCAGAACAGTTCTGATGGTTGCCGTTTCGCTTTGAAAGTTGAATATAGTTCCCAGTTCTCTATTCCCAGGTGCTAACTTCTCAATGTCAGAGAAGTCATTTGATTGACAACTGCTTAAGCACTTTCATTCTGAATTTGACCTTCTGGTGCTTCAGAACCCAGGGGGAAGGGAAGTTGTTGCAGGTAGAAGCTGGGAATCTTTTCAGTTCTTGCTTCATTGTTTTAAATTCTCAGAATTTACATGTACAGTGAGTTTTTAATTTTATCCCCTTGGAACTTGGGATTGATGTTAAAAGGCCACATTAAATATATTAATATACTCACAAATGAGAGAAAATATCCATGAGATCTTAAAATATTCTGAATAATATTTTCTTTCTTTTTAGCTGTCTCCGTTATGAGGTACAGCGCCTCTGCTTTCGGGTTTGCAGTAAGTAACCTGAAATGTACTTTTGTGAAGTTTTGCACGTTTTTCCTGAGCCCACCGGTCTCACCCTGGGCCCTCAAATAAGAGGTTGGTTAGCATAGGAGAGCTTAGTGTAAGGAACACACTCTTGGTGGAAACAGCTGCCGTAAAAACATACACTTTAAGAGAAGTCAACTGCATCGAGACAGTGTTCTCAAGCACAGATTGGTGGAACCACATCTTCCCACAACTGGTTACCAGGATGTTTTAGAGGTTTTAGCCCTTTTTTTCCTCCAAGTTGTAGACTTGAAAATAGGCACAAACTGGAGTGAAGCATTGTGCAGGTGGAGGCAGTGGTACTGGGAGTTAAGATCGGGGTTGCTCAGGCTAAGATACGTCAGGTTACGCAGCTAGGGGTAGCCTGGTAGGATAGGAGCTGCTTAGAGAAAGCGGATCTTGCAAGCTGTTTTGCAGGATAGGTGTGTTGAAGAATTGGGTGAAGTTTCCCATGCCTTCTTTGAAAGTGCTTGTAATTTTCCAAACGAAAAGTGCATTGTGATGCAATGGCTCATAAAGAGGGCTCCTTGAAACATCCTTCTTGTGGAGTTTTAGGGTTTCCTGTAACTGAGGGTGTGTCTTCCTGTCCCCACCCCACTTCTTCCCTTTGTTATGAGAACTTAAAGAACTTAATGTTTTGGATGTGTTTCAGATTCTTTTCAGAATCTTCTGAATGATGTGGACTCTTTCCTCAGGAAAGCACACAACACACACACACACACACACACACACACACACTTTCTCCCGCCTTCCCTACTTCTCTCCAACTTTCTCTCTCACTCACTAACTCAAACAGAAGCATCGAATTTTGTGTACAACTTCTAAGTGTTGACCAAATTCTGGGAGCCCCTAGGTGACCCTCACCCCCACCTCTAGATCCCAGATAGAGCAATCCCATTAAGAGCCAGAAAAACAGAGTCCTCACCCTGAATCTTTTATTTGGGATGTGCAGGAAAATGCTGGAATAAATTTGCCTCCCATGGGGAAATCAATTCTATTGAGTTTTAGAACAGTGTAACCTCCACATTTCTAGAGTGCTAGGCTCTAGGGGGCCCAGAGCAGAGCCCCACAAGACAGAGTGTAGCTTCTCAGGTGGGAGTGGTGTGAGGAGGGCCTGGTGCTGCCACCAGAGAAGCATGTGGGTGCCCGGGCTCCAGATTCCGCAGGCCCCTCTGTGAGGGTGATGAGTGACTTGCCTTGTTAGGATGGGTAGCCTTTTTGCCCTGAAGTGTGTTCTGATGCCTCAGATGTTCTGAGTCCCAGCCCCATTGCTCTGTGTCTTCACAGTCATGCCCTATTAACTCTGGAAAACCACTAATGCCATGTCTCCTTCTCCTAGTTTGATGCCATCCTCGATGTCCTGTCATCAGCGATTGTCCTGTGGCGTTACAGCAATGCAGCCGCCGTACACTCTGCCCACAGGGAATACATGTAAGTGTTTTTTTTTTTTTAAATCTTTTTCCAGCCTGCAGAACCCTAGCAAATGAGGTCCACTGCAGCTTTAGTCCCAGTGATGAGAAGTCCCCAAGTTGCCTTTGAGAGTGGCTGGAATGGTATCAGCCATGTGATGGGCATCTCCTGGGATGGTCAGAGAGACAGGATGTCCTTTCGAAATGCTCCCTGTTCTCTGTTCTTGAGTATTTTTTTCCTCATTCATCTGTCAGTCCATCCATCCATCCATCCATCCATCCATCCATCCATCCATCCAACCATCCATCCTCTGCATCATTCTGTTATTGGAATCTTTGTTCTCTTGAATTTTCATGCTCTTTTCTTTCCTTCTAAGTAAGTTATGGAAGACCCACCCTCCCCTTCATTCAGGGGGTTGTAGGTCTGTAAACTGGCTCAAGTCTGGGAATTGATTGAGGGGCCGTGACTCTCTATTCTGGAGATTCAAGTTAGACTGCTGTTCACTTGACCTAGAATTCTTCTGCTTGTACAAATCAAGTAAATATTTAGTAGATTCCCCATCTATTTCACTCCTCGGGACACCATAACTAAGTAGCCAGCACCATAAATCCATACAGGTCAGACTATTCTGATTACTGCTTTGACTTTGCTGTCCATTACTATAACCACGCCCACCTTGTCTTTATCGCCTGAATGTTGCCACTTGGCCCTACCACCATGAGGTCCAGTCAGCCCCACTGTAGTTAAGTGTCTTAATTCAGTTAGGACAGTTCCCACTGTCAAATCTGACTTACTTAAAATAGCAATCACAGCAGGTCTTCAAGGATGCTGGGGCTCCCTTTACAAATTTGTTCCTCACTGTTGTGGTGAAAAGTATGTCCTCTGGGCACTCCATGTGTGGGTCTGTGGGTCTAACCTGATAAATCCACTCCAACTGCCAATTTCCCTAAGCCTTTGGATACCTTCCTCTGCTGTACACCAAGGCAGGTCTGGCACTTCGACTTGATTTAGTGTAGGCCACCTTCTAATCCATGCTTCAGTGAACCAACCAAATAAACTATTAGATCCTTTCCTAACCTCTTGAGCTGAAACATTACAGAAGACACCTTGAGGGTATTCTGAGTTATTCTACTTGTCTTCCATCCCTCTCTGTGTTAGAGGATTTTGCTTGCCAAGTCTCTACATCCTGTGGATGATGATTTGTCTTTAAGGGATTTCTGTTTAGGACCATAAGGCATTTATTTTCCAGCTTCAGTCTCTTTATACCATTTGCAGCCTCCAGGGTAATAAGAGTTTGGGTTCTAGGGTTGGATTTTTTTTGGTTCAAATCTCAGCTCCACCGCTTGCTAGCTCTGTGACCATGGGAATGCTGCCAACTGCTCTTTGCCTCAGTTTCCTCATTGGGAAAATGAAGAAGACAACAATACCTCCTTCACAGGGTTTTGTGATGGTTATGTGAGTTAATACACATACAGGCAGTCCCCAACTTATGATGGCTTTCCATTCCGAAGACTGTCATAAGTCAGTTCTGATGTAAGTCAAATGTTTTCTTTTTTTTTAGTTTTCATTATTATTGCCTGTTATCATCAGTATCTTTATAAATCTTACCTTTGTCTTTGGGGATTAGAAACATTACATATAAACTTACAGATATATCTTAATATACATATACATAAATAAATACACAAATCATAAAAATTCACTCCAGCAATGAAGAGGAGTTGGACAATGTTGGCATTTTGTCAGTTACGGTAATAACTCCACTTACAGAAGGTTCTGGATCATCTGGATTATCACTGGGATGGTGTTTCTAGTCAGAGAATTAGTGAGAGTTGTCTGTATGGTCCTTTTTTTTTTCCTTCATCTATTTCCGGGTAACATCTCAATGCTTCCTGAATCTGCTTATTGTCTTTGGCAAAGCAATCAGCATTTGAGTCTGTGCTTTCAAGGAACTGAAGCCCCTGATTTACTTCAGAAAAAACTTCAGCTAATCCTTTCACTATAACTCGTAACACTGAATAACTATGAGTGAACATCTGAGAATGATAACATCAGCAAATTATGTGCTGCAACATTGTATGTAGTACATATTACTAATGATAAGATGTACAAAAAGCAGACGGTCGTTAAGTGTGGTCCATCATAACTCGCATGTGTCAGAAGTTGAGGACTACCTGTAGAGTAACGTTGAACAGTGTCTGGCATGTATTTCAATAAACCTTAGCAGTCCTTAATATTAAGGGAGCTCCCCTAGGACAAAGCCACCACTGGTCATCTTGGCAGGAGTCTTAATTCTAGCTCTGCAGGTTTTGGACGGTTGAATGTAAGTGAGTAAATGCCTCCTTGCTGTGGTTTGCAGTGGTACCCAGTCAGAAGGTGATATTGATGGGGATGTGAAGTCATACTCAGACAACATTTGGAAGTCTCTTTGGTGCTAGGGCAGTCAGATAGTTATGTATCTGAGGTTGAATAGAAAGCGTTTAAAAGAGGACACCATAGGTGATTCACTGCGAAATTTTAGTTCAGTTCAGGGCTGGCTTTAGGTAATGTACAAAAACTTTTTTTTAATATTAAATATCCATTTTAAGGTACATTAGCTCTTCTAAGAAATATCATTAAAATATTAAACTGTGACATCCCAGAAGGTATTGTTTAGGATGAGGTTAATTAAAAAAAAAAAAAAGTGAGTCAATTTGTGGTTGACAAAAATTAAGAAAACCATACTCAAGCACAGCAACAGTGGTGAGCATGGCACAGGATCAGGCAGTGTTTCATTCCGTTGTGCAGAGGGTCGCTATGAGCTGGAACCGACTCGACAGCACCTAACAACAAACAACAACGACAACATACTAATATACTGATTTTGTAAAGATTTAAATGATAGTACCTGTCTTAGTCATCTAGTGCTGCTATAACAGAAATATCACAAGTGGATGGCTTTAACAGAGAATATATTCTCTCACAGTCCAGTAGGCTGGAAGTCTGAATTCAAGGCGCTAGTTTCAGGGGAAGTCTTTCTCTTGCTGTTGGCTCTTGGAGGAAGGTCCTTGTGATGCATCCATCTTCCCTTGGTCTGGGAGCATCTCGGCACAGGAACCTCAGGTCTAAAGGATGCACTCTGCTCCCGGCACTGCTTCCTTGGTGGTATGAGGTCCCCAACTCTGCTTGCTTCCCTTTCCTTTTATCTCTTGTAAGATAAAATGTGGTGCAGGCTACACCCCAGGGAAACTCCGTTTACATTGATTGGATCAGGGATGTGACTTTAGTAAGGGTGTTACAATCCCACCCTAATCCTCTTTAACATAAAATTACAATCACAAAATGGAGGACAACCACACAATGCCAAATTGATACACACATTTTTTTGGGGGACGTGATTTAATCTATGACAGTACCGTAATGACCAAAGTCGAGTTAACACTGGTCTAACTGAAGAAGAGGGGAATGCAGCCAGTCAAGCTGTTGGTGGCTGGTATGTGAGTGCAAGCTAGAGAGAACAATCTAGAAATATGCTCACATTTCAAGAGCGAGCCCCTGTCCTGCCAGAAAGAACACATATTCATTAATTCTATAATTGTGTTAGCCAGTATGCAGCCGTTGTTGTCAGCTGTCGTGGAGTTGGCCCCTGACTGATGGTGACCCCAAGTACAATGAAGAAAACACTGCCCTGTCCTGTGCCATCCCATTGTGATCCATAGGGTTTTCATTGCCTGATTTTCAAAAGAAAATCAATAAGTCTTTCTTCCTAGTCTAAGTCTGGAAGCTCCACTGGAACCTGTTCTGCATCATAACACAAAAGCCCCCACTGACAGACGGGTGGTGGCGGCACATCAGGTGCATTGGCTGGGTCTCCTGCATGGAAGGCAAGAATTCTACCACGGAACCACTACTACTAGTGGATATTTTAGCACTTGCTATGTGGCTGATCCAAATTTAGATGTGCTGTTTGTGTAAAATACATGCCAGGGTCCAAAGACTTAGTAAAGAAAAAGAATGTAAACACTTCATTATTTTTAAAATATTGATTAAATGCTGATAATGAGAGTATTTTGGATGTATCAGATTTGATAAACTATATTAAAATTAATGTGGCTTATTTCTTTTTATTTTTTTCATGTGGTTTCTAGAAATTTAAAGTGACATTGTATTTCTATTGGACAGTGCCTTCAAAAGAGAAAGTTTTTTTCTCTTTTCTTTCTTATTTTAGAATTAATAATCTAGAGTATGAATCCCTTTAGAAATTTTGATGTGTAATTCCAGAAGGAATTGAGTTCACAGTTTCCCAATTTCTCTCTTGTAATTTGCTTTTCTCCGGGATTTCCTTTTGGCCCAAATGAGTTTCTTACATGGTAGTCCTGAGCGCAAAGTAGTGTGGGTTTTCTATAGTGTTAGGATTTCCATAGGCATTCGCCAGTGGCCTGGAGTTTTTCCAAGATCAGGATAGATGATATGAAATGCCTTTGGTTTCATTGGTTTTAATGATCCAAAAACAGGTACCATTTTAAAAATTGTATCTCCATCTTATTGCCAAAAAGGCAAAATTTCACAGAGGAGTTGCTTTGATAATTCCCAGGTGGTTGGTCACGTGATGATGCTGGTTAATTCATTTGGAGATTATTAATCTAGGGATTAAAATGACATTCACAATTCTCTATATAGTTGGCTTTAAAGTTTTCATCTTTGCCTCATCCCATGTAAGTTAAAAATTCATGAAATCACTGCCAGCTGAGATGCATACATATTAATAAGCTTGAATAAGTTATGAGGGAGATAGCTAGAAAAATTATTGGTTTTCAGTTAGTTGCCAGGGGATAATGTTAGATGGAATGGAGAAATATCCAACTGGGCCTTAGTTGATTCCTCTTATTTTTCTGAATTGGACCCAGTGCCTCAGGATATATCTTGAGCTTGGAATTGTCAGTGCATAGAGATGAGAACGCATCCTTGGTTTTGCTGCCCTGATGACCATATCCTGACTGTGAATGCAATGGGGTGTTTGATGCTCAGAGGAAGAGAGATCA